GTGATTTCTTATTATCACATTTTCGTATTAATGTCCTTTAAAAAATAAAGGCTTTGAGTCAAACAAATGTGTTCAAATGTATATCTACTATCTGTGTGACAATTATAAAAAATATTTTAACACTCTAATCCTGACTTATCTGTAAGATAAAAATAATAATATTACTATCTTTGTAGGTTTGTGTGAAATAAATGAAGTGAGATAATGTTTGTAAAGTTCCCAATATGGAACCTATCACCTAGCAAGTGTTCAGTGGCTGGGGAGAGGGATGCAAAACACCATTCCTGAAACATAACAATAATAAAAATGATAAGAATAATGGTACTATACTAAACATTTTACATAGGTTACCCCATTTGATTTTAAAATAATAATATAAAGTAATCTTGTTACCCCTATTTTATAGATGAGGAAAATGAAACTTAAACTGCTTGAGAAACTTGCTAGTGTCACCCAGTCAATAAAAGCCAAAACCGAGACTGAATAAGTAAAGGTAGCAGCAACAGCTATTATTATATTATTATCCTCACCATCACCGTCATCAACCCATCATGTTACCTCCGTAGCAGACTAGACTATAAAAATGAGCTCTTGGGTACTTCCAAAGATAATTGTCTCCCCTTGGAAGAAATCCAGAACAAGCCCACATTCAGCTAAATTCTGCATTAGAGTGGGCTGTCATACAGTTGGAAGGATTTATTCCAAGCACCTAGAAGGCACATGGAAGATAAATAGATAGAATTTGTCAGATCTTCTTCTACCTTTAAATGTATCCCAACAATGAAAGAAAAGAGGATAAAGCCATTTTGTTCATACATACAGGCATTTTAAAACATCACTACAAGTGGTTCATCTGGTTATCATTCCTTGAGTAATCGAACCCAGAGCTGAAGACAAGCAAACTTCACATGAAATATGGTCTGCAATGCTAATGAATAATAAAAAATTAAAGGGATTTAGTGTAAATGTATGAGTCTACAGTGGGGGGAGGGTTAAAAATAAAAATGTAGAGTTTACTGAGGTTGAATTTTATCAAGTTCCTTATTCAAAATTATTTGCTCATATTTCCCCATCTCTCTAACTGCCAAAAATAAATGTAAAGTTGCATTATTTTGGATATAAATTAATAATGAATGCACATTTTCCCGGAAAATTTTTAATGACTTATAGCCATATATGTATAATAATTTTAAACAGTCATGCAAAAGATGAGCATTAATGTTTGCACAGAAACATCATATTATTCAAATGGATCACAGATAAATATAATATTAATATTCTCATTAGCTCTTTAAAAAACTAAATGAAATGTTCTGTTTTTAATAAAAATCTGTCATGATTTTTTAAAATCTAATTTTAAAAATGTGACTGTTAAAGAATACACGCTGTTCATTAATACATTTAGAAATGCTCATAAAAAATTAGAAGAATTAAAAACATTAGATGTCACTGGAAATTCAATATTCAAATCAATATTGTGTAGACTTGATAGATGAAGCCAAAAGCTAGGAGAGTATTTCATAACAAGACACAATGGAAAACCACTCGAATATACCATCTGATGACTAGGTAATAAACCCAAAGCTATCAGGTTGTCGAGTTTTCACACTGCAGTACTGAGCAAACTCCCACATGACAATCACATTCCTCCCCTGCAGTGTGGGAATGAAATGAAAAGCAAGACCTCACCACCCCCAGTTACCTACCAGCAGTTCTCCTTTTACTTTTTGACATACCTCAGAGTAAGCCGAGGTCAGGATCAGGAATCAAGAAAGGTATCTTTGAATATACATATTCCCCTTCTCATTTTATCATATATTCTTTATTAGACTCTCTACTCGAACCTGGACAACAAAGAAGGAGAGTCCACTGTGGACACTGGAAAATTACTTCTTTGTGACTGTGAATGTCCAAGTTGAAATCTGTGACTAAGAATTACAATGCTGACTTCGTAGGATCATTGTGAGAATTCAGATGCTTGGTAAAGGGCCTGACACTTACAGGGTGTTTATTATTATAATTATTTCTATAGTACACCATTGATCACAACTGAGGTTCAGGAGCTGTGACAAGCCACAGTTGGCCTCAGGTCACCTCTGTTTACCTGTCCAAGATCACCCTCCTTGCTTAAAGCTGTTATTCTCCTCTGAAAGTTCCTCCTTCCTCCCCATAATCTGTAAAGCTAGTGTAGACTTTATTTGCTAACCATGATACAGATAAGCCTTAACAGAGCTATGACATTTTCCTTTTTTCAATACCCAAATTGAGATACTGGAGTTTTTCTCTCTGTGTAAAGGAAAATTTGCTACCTTAGAAAAAGATAATAACTACACAGGATATTGAACTGTGTTGTTACTGGGATAACTCTAACTTCTCTGTAGTTTCTATGTGGAAGAGTTATTTATAGAGGTTAAAGTTAACCAAATGGGTAGCTATCAAAAGAACCATCACCTACAAATATTATATTTTTTAAAAATTCATTAAAGTTGCCTTTTTTATTCTCACAGGATAGCTGTAAGCTCCACAAAAAACAGGGATAATGACTGTTTTATTTACTGATGTACCTTAGTAAACTACAATACTGCCTGGTAGATAGTGAACGCTCAGTACACATTGTTAAAAGATCAAGAAAAATACGTCATTAAATTTTTGACCTTCTTTAGAATCTTACAAATATAAACATAAAATAAAGCAATCACACTTTGAGTTATTTTAAATCAACAAAATAATATTTTTCAAGAATTTTGTTTATGAGTACAGCCACTGACATGTCCTGCATTTGAATTCGGACTGTGTGACTCTAGGTAAATCACTCAATTTATTTGTGTCTTAGGTTTCTCTTCTGTAGAATGGGTATACAGTCATCGCACAGTATTGTTATGATTAAATAAAGTCCTGCACGAGTAAGGAGCCTACAAAATTTCCTGGCATAAAGTAAGCACCCATTAAATGTTGGGTGTTTTTATTAAAACTTTAACTTTTGCTGAGGCAGGCATTGAGACTCATGACTGCCTGTGAGCTAGAGGTTCCATGGCCAGTTGGCAAAGCCAAAACCAAACAGTTGTATTTCTTTCCAAGCTAGAGAAAAAGCTCTCCCTACTGCATTCTCGTGGCTGCTCGTCTCATTCTTTCTAATATATATGTGTATACATGCGCATGTGTATACTTTCTAATATATACGTATATATACACAACATATATAAGTATCTTTGTAATATATACTCTTTTTTTTTTTGTCAGGTTCTCACTCTGTCATCTAGGCTGGAGTGCAGTGGCACAGTCACTGCTCAGGGCAACCTTCAACACGTGGGCTCAAGGGCTCCTCTTGCCTCAGCCTCCTGAGTAACTGGGACCACAAGTGTCCCCCACCACTCCCAGTTAATTTTATGTTTTTATTATTATTATTATTTTTTTATTATTTATTTTTTTTTTTTGTAGAGACCAAGTCTTAATATGTTGCCCAGACTGGTCTCGAACTCCTGAGCTCAAGGATCCTCTCACCTCACCCTCCCAAAGTTTTGGGATTACAAGTGTGATCTCTATGCCTCTAATACATACTTTTTATATACATTTAACAAAGATGAGTGTAATTCACTGTCTCTGGCAAAGACTTTTTTTAAAATGCAGGCTTCTGAGATGGCTTGCTGGAAATGAGAACACCTTGAACCGTGCCAAACAGTTACTATAACTGCCCTAACCCCAAGTTTAGCACACAAAGCCCACCGGAAATTTTATTCTGGAGCATTTGCGAGGGCACAGATTCAGGGAAACGGGAAGCAATTGCAGGAATTCTCGAAGTGTCTTCAGGATGAATCTAACATTCAGTGTCACCGAGCACTTCCCTCCCCCGGTCTCACCTCCCTCCCTTCCCTGCTACTCCCCTCTGCAGGCGCGGGGGAGCGCCTGGCGGCGCCGGGAACCAGCGCGGCGGGGGCGGGCGCGCTGAGCCCAGCCTGGGGGCAAGCCCGACACAGGTGGAGGCACCGAAAGGCAGCAGGCGCGGGCAAACGGCGCAGCTATGAGGTTTCCCTCCTGAACGGGCCAAGACAGACCTACGTGTAGACCAGAAGGATCAAAAGAAGGCCACGTAACCAGTGGAGCTGTGGCGCGCAGCCCAGATGTACCCGGAGCTGCAGGTGAGTCGCGCCCCCACCAGCTCCACCACCCCTCGCCCGGTGTCCTACGGGTTGGCTCCCGGGGCCCCTGGGTCCCCTTCTAGTCTCACCTGGGCACTGGCTTGGGCTTCTCCTTTTACTGAGGTGTCCTTACTATTTCAACTCCTGCCTCATCCCACGCGTGTTCTATTCCTCGTCTTTTTCTCTTCCCTTCTCCTAAAATGAGAGCTCCCCTTTGCTCAGAACACCTGCTCTCCAGGAAACTTGCCGGGACAGGGATGGCTCAAAGGAAGTGTGCAAAGCACCCCGAGGCCAGATGGATGCCCAATGGGATGGGAGCTGGCAACGAGGTCCCTTAGTTCTCGGTGACTCACTGGGACTTCCATGAAAAGTCATCATTAATTATCCGTATTTCTCAACCAGGAGGTAAAAAATCCAAGAAGGGAGGCGGGAGAAGATGGAGCTGGAGCGTGAGTAACAATCAGGCTAGAATGAGGGTAAATCGGGGGAAAATGGTGCAGCCCGGTTGCCCAGAGCACCCTCCCCCACGTGCGAACAACCCCAGCGAACACTCCTCGGGAGGACCTTGAAGTCGAAGTGAAAGAAGAGGGAGGAAAATCCATCCTCAAGTTGGAAGGGTTACGGACCCGGCGACCACTTTCTCTGCTGTTTGAACTTTTTTGTCTCCTGCGGGCAAGAGTGAGTCTCCCCACTCCCTCGCTAGCATTCCACGAAGAGTCCCCTTCTCCCCTTCCTCCTCCCGCACCCTAGATCTCCCTCCTCCCTTCCTTCCCCACCCCTCCACCCACCAAGTGGCGAGTCCCTCAATCTGCACACCTCCTGGGCTGGGGATCTCAATTGCGAAGTTGGGAGGGGGTGCGTCCCTTTGGGAAAAGACACCACTGGCACGCGGCTGCGCTGGGCTTAGACTGCACTTGGTCATTTCCCTCAGCGCGAACCCCTGCTCCCTCTCGTGTGCGCTGCCACCGGGCACGCGGCCCCTAGCGCTTGGAGGAGGGACCAGCGCAGGGGCGGAGAGAGCAGGGGTGCTCCAGTGCCGAGGCGCCCTCTCGGGAGCCCGGGAAATCCCGGCTGCCACCGGGGGCCTGCCACCGCCCTCGCAGTACCCAGGCTTCCGGCGCGTCCTCAACTTTGTGGCGCCCCCAGACAGCGGCGGCCAAGATGGATCTGCCTTCCAGCGGCCGGGCGCTGCTGGACTCGCCGCTGGACAGCGACTCCCTAGCCTCCCTGGACTCCAGCGTGTTTTGCAGCGACGGGGAGGGGGAGCCCCTGGCGCTCGGGGACTGCTTCACGGTCAACGTGGGCGGCAGCCGCTTCGTGCTCTCGCAGCAGGCGCTGTCCTGCTTCCCGCACACGCGCCTGGGCAAGCTGGCCGTAGTGGTGGCTTCCTATCGCCGCCCTGGGGCCCTGGCCGCCGCGCCCAGCCCGCTGGAGCTCTGCGACGATGCCAACCCGGTGGACAACGAGTACTTCTTCGACCGCAGCTCTCAGGCGTTCCGCTACGTCCTGCACTACTACCGCACCGGCCGCCTGCACGTCATGGAGCAGCTGTGCGCGCTCTCCTTCCTCCAGGAGATTCAGTACTGGGGCATCGATGAGCTCAGCATCGACTCCTGCTGCAGAGACAGGTACTCCTGAGGCGCGCAGCGGCTGGTCGGGGAGGCGGGCGCGGTGTGGAGATGGGTATAGGTCACGAGTTCAGGCTGTGCACTAAGCCTTCCCCGCATCCAGGCCTAGGAATGGGTGTGGCCACTTCTGAGCTGACAGGTGAGGTGGAAGTGGGGCCTGGAAGTCAAATCGTCAACTTTTGAATGGAGCTTTTTGAACCTTCTTGTCCCCCATTTTTGCATGCTAATTTAGTGTATAAGGCGAGGGAGGTCAGGCCCCCAGTATATATTTGGCGGCTGAATAAATGAATTAGAAAAAGGATGTTCCAAAAGATGGCTGTATAAGGATGAAGGTTTTGGCTTGAAGCATTCTCATTCATCAAACCTAGAACACTCACTGTGAACTGTTTTAAATACAGAGCGTAAAACAGTTGGAGAACTGCTTTAAATACAAAGCAGAACTACCTAAATACAGAGGATAAAAGATTGGTCTCTTGACTGAATGACTATGGGGCTTTGTTGCTATCTTGCTATTACTAGTGTTATCTTGCTATTACTATCATTTCTTCAAGAATGCCTTTTCTTTACACACAAAAAAGTTCCATATGGCAAACATCTGTTCTGTTACCAGAAAGTGAGTAATAGAATACATTAATCCAAAGCAACTTTGCAATGCATACATCCTTTTGTAAAAAGTTCCACCAAGAAAGTGTCACTTAAAAAAAATGAGACATTCTGAATACTATGGGCAAGAGACAACCTGATTAAAATATAAATAGACTTTTTCTGCATTTTACTGAAGTAAAAAGTTTGACTCCCTGCCAAGTTTAATTATCTTTTACTTCTGTAATTTAAGAAAGACTAATCATCAAGTTGTCTTCTCTAAAAGATACTTCAGAAGAAAGGAGCTGAGTGAAACTTTAGACTTTAAGAAGGACACAGAAGACCAGGAAAGTCAACATGAGAGTGAACAGGACTTCTCACAAGGATCTTGTCCCACTGTCCGCCAGAAGCTCTGGAATATTCTGGAGAAACCTGGGTCTTCCACAGCTGCCCGAATCTTTGGGGTCATCTCCATTATCTTCGTGGTGGTGTCCATCATCAACATGGCCCTGATGTCGGCGGAGTTAAGCTGGTTGGACCTGCAGCTGCTGGAAATCCTGGAGTATGTGTGCATTAGCTGGTTCACCGGGGAGTTTGTCCTGCGCTTCCTGTGCGTGCGGGACAGGTGCCGCTTCCTGAGAAAAGTGCCAAACATCATAGACCTCCTAGCCATCTTGCCCTTCTACATCACTCTTCTGGTCGAGAGCCTGAGCGGGAGCCAGACCACACAGGAACTGGAAAACGTGGGGCGCCTTGTCCAGGTTTTGAGGTTGCTCAGGGCGCTGCGCATGCTAAAGCTGGGCAGACACTCCACAGGTATTTCAGTTTCATTGACGCCTTTTAATTTGCCATTAGTTATCTGACTTCAGTACTGGGAAAGTGACTCTGAATTGATATTCGATTACCAACTTCAATGTTTTACCCAACGATGACCTCCAAAGAGGTTTTGGGAAGCAAGCCTTGAAGTTGTTATCCCAGGTGTAGAGAAGATGCCTCTCATACATTTTCTCCATGAGAAAAATGTTGACAAACAATTTGACCATTTAACTGCAATTTACTTGAACCCAGTGCCCAGATGTACAAAAATTAAAGACACTATTCCTCTACAAGCTTCTAGACAACATGTGCATCAATGACACATAAGATATACATAAGTTATATATGATATATCGGGCCATGAGCTAGTTTCTCTTCTTTGCCCAATAAGTGCTTGCCACATATGCCAGGTCGAAGGGAAAACCAGCCCTCTAGAGACTTCTCTGGCCATGCAGAGAGATGACAAGGCACTAGTGGCCTTTCCTAAATTTTTGAAGAAGCGATGGAAATATCTTGCTTTGGAAAAAAGCAGAAGTCACTAATTAGATGTTTTAGCTACTAACTGATGATTTTATTGTCCCTAACCTGAAATGCATGAGAAAAAAAGGGTAATAGGAATTCCTTAGCTAGTTCTATGTCATAGAACCTTTGGAAATCGAAAAAATATTTTTAAAAAATATTTGTGTAACACACACACATACACACACACACACACACACAATGTACTTGAAAATTATAGTCAATGGCAGTGAAAAATCACACAGATCAATTAAAGGTGATTCTTACATTCCCCAAGGGTAGTAGCTCTCAGTGGTTAGACCTGCAGCTGTTGGGTGTTATGGAGTACCTATTAGTTGTCTTGTCAGGCTTAATGAAAGTAAGAATCCCCATAAATCTTGAAATGCAGATTCTGAGCCCCTACCCTCAGAGAACTTGACGTTAGATCTAGGAGCATACATTTTAACAAGCTCACGGATGACTTTGATGTAGGTGGTTCTTGGACCACACTTTGAGAAACACCAGCGCTTATGCCATATTAATATAATAAATAGTAACACAAATACATATTAGTACAAACGAGTTGGTTTGAGATTCCTATTTACACCTGAGATATACCTGACCAGCCACCTAAAAGAGGTTGATGGTACTTGTCTCTCCCTATAAATAGAGGGAGAAATTAACCTCTAATATGTTTCTTTTTCCCCCACATATCTGGGGTAATTAGGACTTATCCTAAAATAATTTTGGTCGTGTGCTCTGCCAGCTAGCCTCACATATCAGGAATTTGATAATGGGGTTTCCAACACCTTTTATAAGTACCACTCTTTGTTTTCTGACACATATAATGGGATGCTTTCTTTGAGTATTTATAAACCCTTCACAAGATTCAATTTAAAAACACCCAGTTAAGACTACATTTTTTCAAAAGAAAGGAAAATAATAGTAATTTCCACAATGTCACCTCTTCAAAGATTTTCTCAGTCCTAAAACAAGTATAAAGTATTCATAAAGTCTTACTTCATTAAAAATATATAAAGAATTGTATATGTGACCATTTTATCTGTACATTTAGTAAAACGTAAACAGATGACATATTTCCTCATGTGTTAATTATAAATTAAAAATGTGAGGTGTTGTATAATAATGATTATTTGGCCAGACAGCCTAGGTTTGAATCCTGGCTCTGTAGTTTCATACTAGGTCAGCTACCTGTCTGTGCCTCAGCCTCTTCATCTGCAAAATGGCATAACTATTACAGCATCATATGTAAAGCATTTTTTGTGGATTCTCTGAGTTAAAAGATGTAAAATGCTAGAAAGTCATCCCACTTTCTTTCTCTTTACAAAATCGTTTACAACATTTAATCCTTAAATGAAAATGGTTTCCCAGGCACATACTATGCTTCGCCTCATATGTTGTCAATTTCTTTCAGAAATGTAATTCCATATAGACACATCAAGGCTAGTGTTCTATAAAGGCATTCTGAAAGATATTCTTTTGAAGTTAAACCTCAAAGTTAACATTCATTGATCTTTAAAAATAGTTGGTTAATAATTCAAGAATATCTCAAAATTCGAAGAGCAAAATTCAAACTAATGAGAGCATGAATGGTATACTAATGCATTTCAAACAGCCTCTAGTGAATGAATAAAAACAACAAAAATTTATTCTAAGGGGTATTGCTTTGAACTTCTGTGACAATATCATCGTGATATCAACATGTGTTCTATCAGCATGATCATCCTGTTTCTATGACTTCAAAATGTAGATAAACTTTAAGAAGCATCTCTTTAGTAATAGGGAGGCTATTTTATGGTAGATTCCAGTCCTGGTTCTATAATGGGCTCTTCTTACTCTCATTAGGGCTTAGTCTCTTCAAAGATAGGATTGGACTTTCTTGAGTTTGTCTCATAGGGGTTCGATAAATCCTAAGATCTGGGGATGAAAAATTCACCAATGCCTCACAGTGAGTAAATTCCTTAGTAGCTCCATTTCTTTCACCTTTTTTCAATGGAGGAATATCCTATATTCAAGTCTATCTTCTTATAGGAAAGCAGAAACTGTATGTGCTCAAGAGTGTTAATTTCCTATAGCTTTGGTAGTAAGGACTAGGATTTCAATGGGTGTCTTGGACATTTAAGAACTTCTTCCTGATACATCACCAAGAATGTTCCCTGAAGATATATGTGAGTTCTCATGTCAGTTTTGCCACCAATGCCTAACTTGCTTCTGTTTCTTCACTTCATTGCCATGGTATATATCTTTACTTATTCTGGCTCCTGATTGTGTTAAACTTTATCAGGAGGGTGAGAAAAGTAGACACATAAAATATAAGAAGACAACATAAATCTGGCATAGAAAGTAGTACTAAATTTATGCATTGAAATGCAGGTCTGACCAAATGAGACCTCCATATGCAACACTGAGAAAACATCTGCTTATATAAACTAAAGTATAAAACTCCTATCATATATCTTCCGCCTGCCTTTCAGTCTCACATCTCACCTTTTTATAAGTAATTAACAGGAGTTCAATAATTACGTGGTGTATGTAATTATGCAAATGAATGAATGAATTTAATAGTATTTCTCCCTATGCTTCTCAGCCCAATCCCATCAACTAGACTGTGAGCTTCCCGAAGACAAGTATTATGATTTAATCATCTTTGTGTCTCCAGAACATTGCTCAGAGCTAGGAACATATTAGGTGTACAGCGCAAGTTTGTGGGCGGATAGCAAGGAGGGAAAGGGAAGAGAGGGAAGGAGGAGAGAAAAGAAGAGGGGTACCAATGACTGACAGCGGTTGTTCTTTTGCAGGGTTACGCTCACTTGGGATGACAATCACCCAGTGTTATGAAGAAGTCGGCCTACTGCTCCTATTTCTTTCTGTGGGAATTTCTATATTTTCAACTGTAGAATACTTTGCTGAACAAAGCATTCCTGACACAACCTTCACAAGTGTCCCTTGTGCATGGTGGTGGGCCACAACCTCTATGACTACTGTGGGCTATGGGGACATTAGACCAGACACCACCACAGGCAAGATTGTGGCCTTCATGTGTATATTATCGGGAATCCTTGTCTTGGCCTTGCCTATTGCTATTATTAATGATCGCTTCTCTGCTTGCTACTTCACCTTGAAACTCAAGGAAGCAGCTGTTAGACAGCGTGAAGCTCTAAAGAAGCTTACCAAGAATATAGCCACTGACTCATATATCAGCGTTAACTTAAGGGATGTCTATGCCCGGAGTATCATGGAGATGCTTCGATTAAAAGGTAGAGAAAGAGCAAGTACGAGAAGCAGTGGGGGAGATGACTTCTGGTTTTAAATTCATTTTCAATGTATTTACAAAAGGTGTGTGTAATTAATTTGATTGAAAAAAACCTTGATGTGGATGTCTGTATTCTGATGAACCTCTTTGAAGCACTATTTGTCTTAATTTTTGCTGATACATTGCTTGGTCTACTAGACTATTTCGCATCCTCTATAAAAACTACACATTATTCTGACACATTGAGTCTCAAAAATAGCCAAATTAATATAACCAAATGCAACTAGGTCAATATAAACATGACTGAATTGTCAAATATGAAATAATATCATTGCAATACATACAACAAAGTTAAAGCTTTTGTGTACTACTAATTTTAGAAGTTTTTTGCACCACTTATTTTTTTAATGGCAGTTAAGCTGCATTGCCCAGATAAAAGACAAGTGAACATTTAAGAAACACTGAACAACTTTGCTATTTAAGGATATTCTTCAAGTGTACAAATTACTCCTTTCCCCATCAGTTAAAGTTGTTGAATATAACAATTAGCTTTGCAAGAGAAAGACCTTATTTGAAAGTCAGAGATTGTGATGATTCTTTCTAGGGCATATCTCTGATCACAAATGAACTTATCTCTGTATCTCATCATTACTATTGAAGGTGGGAATCCCAAAACTGCTAGACTACAGTAGATGAGTCTGTCCAAAGACTTTGAAAACTGCACATCTTCATTCTCCCAAATAAGTGTAATATGTGAAGTATAAAGCAGCATATTTCTAAGTACTTCATGAAAACTAGATGGTCTTTAAAATGTCTCTTTATGAATGTATTGTTCAAGTTATGTCTTTAAAGTCATGAGGATGTAAAGGTGAAGTAGTGAATAGTCCAAATTTATCATTAAAATTATTAACATTCTTATTTCATAAAATGAAAATGATATGTTGAATGACACCACTAAATGAACCCAAAGATCTTTTGCTTGTTAGCAAAAAAATATTATGGACAACTTTCTGACTGTTGAGGTAAATACCAAATGTTCAAATTTTGACAGCTTTTGACACTCATAATAATAATAAAATTCCCAGACATTTTGTTATATAATTAAAGCCAAGAACCTAAAGCTAAGAATTAGCTCATGATTCCCAATGTTTTAATAAATGAGATTCTAAAAACTAAGAATAAAAAGAAATGGATCACTTTAATACCTGCATTTTCAATGAGTGTAACAGAACCTCCAAGGGAAGAAAATTTGGGTTCTTGAGGAAAAAACCTTTACTCTTCTTACATATAAAACACAGATGCATATTTAGTGCACACGCATATATATAGCATATCTGTGTTATTAAAATTTTATGGAGTGGAAATTAGAAAAAAAAAGGACAGAAGGCTCTTTGCCAGGGGTGAATGATGTTATGAAACATTGAGAAACACTGCTTTCATATATGGTTATAACATATTTTATCAATTCTGTTTAAGATATTGTTACATTATGAACTACCAAGAAAGAAAGAAAGGTGCCAGTGAATTGTAAGATGCAATTTACTATAACATGCATCTGGATTTCAGATATGTAAAAATTCAAAATAAGTATCTTAAAAATCAATGAAATATCACATGTACTACCTCTTGTTTTCTGGTATGCATGCTTAAGCTCTGAAAACATTTTCACTGATGGCATGAGTTTTAGATTGTGTGCTAAAGTACTTTAATCTATTGACTTGTTTCCATTTCTCCTAAATATTATGAAAGATTTAGGAGATATAATAAAATAAATATTTTCTTTTTTACACACATACATGGGTACTAGATGATGGCACAAGACCACTAGTCTTAGTTCAAATTCCACTCACAAGCTGAAGAAGAAGTAGAGGTTAGACATGGAAGGCAAGCGTTCTCTGACTTTTCTAGAACTTTCCCTAATAACAATAGTTACTCTGATCCAGAACTATGCTCTGAACTCATCATATATCATTGTCTCCTCAAAAAAACTCTATTATATAATTACTATTCTTATATAAACATTCTTAAATAAACATTTTATATTTACTAATTCAACAAATATTTATTAAGGACCTTTCTATATATTAGACCCTAGAGAATCTTTGTTAAACAAAACCAGGTCCTGTTCTCTTGTATTTAATATACTACTTGAGGCTCTGAAGGGAAGATCAGCTACAAAATTGAGACATTAAAAGTCATAAACTTGCCTAATTTCACACAACCTGTGGATGGCAGAGCCAGGACTGAAAAACAACCTGCCTGACCCCAAAAATTCTATAGATTTTATTCTTCCCACACAACCTGTGTGTAGGGATTTATTTTGTAAACAGGCAAGCCAACTTTTTGGGCTTGGAGAGGTTTGATATGCCTTAAGTAAAATATCAGCTTATTCTCAGAGATGAAATGGTGCTTTTAAGGAACAGTTTAAGGTGACACTTTATAGTCATTACTAGATAAGAAATATATCATCTTTAGAATAAATAATAGTTGGAAAACTAAAAACCGTAACTATGTATAGTATATATAAACTGTGTGTATGTATATATGTATTTTTTAATCAGAGAGGATTCTAAACACATTCTCCACAAATGTGATATGTTAGCTGTACAGATGTCAAGATATAGACGTTTCAAAAGAAATTTTACAGCACCATTGTTTAGTCATCTTTATGGTTATATAAAATGTTAGTGCACTTATTCAACAGATGTTGAATAAGCAAAACAAATTTAGTTTAAGTAACAGGTCAAGGCAGGAACTCTGCTAATTTTATATTTCATCGTTTTAAAAACATTGGATATTTTTATAATCTAAGAATTATTATTATAAAAATATTTAAATAGTTTAGCAATATAACATAATAAAATTATTGTCTTTCTCTAAGCTATTTAAAGAACACTAATCAGAAGCATTTAAATACACATAGGCCATGCTTGAGTACCATAAAGGACAATTTTAAGAAACCACTGAGGTATCTCTAATAAGAGTAACATAATAGTTATATTTTATTGAGTTTTTTCATATAGTGTGTGTATACAAGGAATTGTTGCATTAAGTATAATCAATGTTATGTACAAAAGAGTTAACTAAGGTAGATATTTTAGTTGTGTGTTTCAATGTGAAGTTCTTACTCTGATTAAAATCTTTAACTAGCTGTTGCAAAAAATATATCTTCTGACCCAATTTAAGCAAAACATTATCACTGGGTAAATTTAATTACTTTGACAAATATTTCCATTGATACATTTTGTTAACATGAGAAACCTCCTCTTCTGAAATATTAGCCATTAATATCTCTGTCTTATCAATCCTTTGGTTCCGGTCCAAGAAATCACTGGTTGGCAAATGATGTGTTCTCTGGGTGATTTTCCATTGCAAAGCATCGCCATTCCAAATCTCTCTCCAAAGCCACACTGACACAATGAATGAAAAATATCACAGGGGAGAGCTTTCCTCATTAACCCCATAGGCAATTGCTAACATGGTATGTCTTTTGGAGTGATGGAATAACTTTGATACTCATCATCCTTATGTTCTTATTTTCCTTACATTAAATAACTCCTTTGCTTACACCCTCAACTCTATTTCCCCTCTCTTCCTTACTGGTATTCAGCTGGTAATACCTCAACCCTAATAAAACCCAATCGAATGCCTGCTTTTGCCTGCCCCTGTGGAGCACATCATGCTCTACAGAAAAAAGACAATGCATGCTGACTGCTCTCACTTTACATTCATGACTACAACAATTTCCAATGGTTTCTTAATGCTTCCAAGCAACCTCATACAGCAGTTCATGAGTCCATTTACCCTCCTAGAATAAATAGAAACCTCTAAAGCCTCCCTTTGATTCCACTTTCACTCAAAAAATAGAATCAGAAGAAAGTTTTGTTGTTTTTTTTAACAAAAGTCAGCACCCACATTTATCCACCTACTTCCATCTGTGCCTGTTCACTCTGCCTTTCCTCCCATTACAAGCTTGGACCATCCATCCACCCTTTCTCTCCAACTCTAAGATATTGCTTCAGAAAATTATTTCTCTTTTCTTTACTATACTATCACTTTTTTCCCTTCCTACTGGAAATTCCTGTCAGTCTATAAACATTATTTTCTTTTTCCCATCTTAAAATTTAAAAACATGTCCCTAAACCTCTTTGCATCTACTTCATTCTCTAGAAAACACTCATTTTTTTCTATTTTTACAGCAAAACTCCTTGATAGCATTTTCTATACTCACCTCTCCATTTCTGAAGTCACTGATTTTTTCCCCCAATTTTTTTTGAAAATCCACTTAAGTCAGTCTCCCATAGTACGTCTCCTATAAAACTGTTTACTTAAGATCAACAATGAGCCCTTCATTGCTAAATCCAGGTGTCAATTCTCAGATTTCATATTGTCAGATCCCTCAACAACATTTCACAAGGTTAATTACTCACCCATCCTTGAAATACTTTCTTCATTGATTTCCAATTCTTCACACCCTCCTAATTTTGCTTCTTCTTCACTGTTCAGTCATCTATTCTGGTTGAGGTAATCAATCAGGGCTTCATATTCAGTCTTCCTCTCCTCTCTCTTTGTGCAGTCTCCTTGATAAAATCATATCACTTCATAGCTTGAATAAATATCATTGACACTTGGTCAACTCTCAAATTTCTGTGTCCAGACTTGAACTTTCTCATTTCCTGCATCTCCAGAATTGTGTGTGTAACTGCCTGTTCAACAAATATCTAATAAACTTCTCACAATTATCACATCCAATATCAAATTTCTTATATTTCCCCAAAACTCTACTTTTCAAGTACTCCAAGAAGCAGATGACAAAGCAAGTGATTATTACAATACTCATTATGTACAAGACATCTATTGGGAAGAAAGCTTGTGATGGATAAAGAGAAGGAATCTAGAAAAGGCAAGAAAAATCTTCAGGCTAGGATGCAGAGCTGATGGTTGTGGAGAAGACAGAGGAGGGAGGAGGACTAGGTAAGAAGAACCTCTGATTATAGCCTAGTTCTAAGAAACTTCAGGCAGGTTGATAGAGTGTTCTTGAGAAAGAGGCCCATTAAGAAGTTTCATGTCTATAGAAACTGAACTACAGGCATACTTCACAGATGTTGTGGTTTTGGTTCTAGACCATCATAATATAGCAATTACCATAATAAAGTGAGTCACGGGCATTTTTTAGTTTCCCACTGCACATAAAAATAATGTTGCATATGCCTGTAGTTCCAGTTACTATAGTGGCTGAGACTAGAATAGATTGAGTTCAGGAATTTGAGGTTAAAGTGAGCTCTGATCACATCTCTGCACTCCAGTCTTGTACACAGAGTGAGATTGTATATAAAAAAAAGTTATGCTAAACTATACTCTAGTATATTAAAGGTTCAATAGTATTAGGTTCAAAAAACAATGTACATAATTTTAAAAATACTTTATTGATAAAAAATGCTAATGATCATCTGAGTCTTCAGGGAGTCTTAATCCTTTTGCAGGTACAGGGTCTTGCCTCAATGTTGATGACTGCTGACTGATCACGGTTGTGGTTGCTGAAGATTGGGATGGCTGTAACATTTTTTAAACATAAAACAACAATGAAGTTTGCCTTATTGATTGACTATTCCTTTCACAAAAGATTTATCTGTAGCCTGCAGTGCTGTTTGATACCATTTTACCCACAATAGAACTTCTTTCCAAATTGGAGTCAATCTTCTCAAACCCTGTCACAGTTTTTTTATCAATTAAATTTATGTAATATTATAAACCCTAGGTTGTCATTTCAACATTATTCATTCATCATCACCAGAAGTAGATTCCATCTCAAGAAACTTCTTTCTTTTTGCATCCATTAGAAGCAATTTCTCATCCAAGTTTTATCATGAGATTGCAACAATTTCAGTCACGTCTTCAGGCTCCACTTCTAATTTTAGTTCTCTTGTTATTTTCGTCACATCTGCAGTTACTTCCTCTCCTGAAGTCTTAAAACCTTCAAAGTCATCCATGAGGGTTGAAATCAACTTCTTCCACGTTCCTGTTACAGTTGATATTTATACCTCTTCCCATGAATCAAAAATGTTTGTAATGGCATCTAGAATAATGAATTCTTTCCAGATCGCTTTCAAATTACTTTGTTTAGGTTCACCAGAGGAATCACTATCTAAGGAAGCTTTGGCCTTATAAAATGTATTTCTTAAATAATAAAACTGGAAAGTCAAAATTACTCCCTGACCCATGGGCTGCAGAATGCATTTTCAATGAGTAGTAATATTTTGAAGGAATCTTTGATTCTTAACAGTAGATCTCAACTGTAGGCTTAAAAGATTCAGTAAACTATAATATGAACAAACATGTTCTGCTATCCAAGCTTTGTTGTTCCATTTATGAAGCATAGACAAAGTAGATCTAGCACAACTCTTAAGGGCACTGGGATTTGGGATATGGAAAATGAGTATTGGTTTCAATTTAAAGTCACCAGCTGCATTAACTCTTTTTTTTTTTTTTTTTTTTTTTTTAGTTGGAGTCTCACTCTGTCGCCCAGACTGGAGTGCAGAGGCCGCTCCCGGCCACTGCAGCCTCAGTCTGCTGGGTTCCAGAGATCCTTCCACCTCAGCCTTCCAAGTAGCTGAAACTACAGGCGTGTGCCACCACGCCCAGCTAATTTTTTGATTTATTGTAGAGATAAGGTCTCGCCAAGTTGCCCAGGCAGGTCTCGAACCCTCAGGCTCAGGCAATCCTCTCACCTCAGCCTACCAAAGTGCAGGATTACAGGCTGTTACCGAGCCCGGCTGTATTAACTCTTAACAAGAGAATCATTCTGTCTTTTGAAGTTTGAAGCTAGCTATTGACTTCTCTCTAATATGACACTTACAGTCACCAACTGCATTGGCTCTTAACAAGAGAATCATTCTGTCCTTTGAAGTTTGAAGTCAGGATTCACTTCTCTCTAATATGAAAGTCTCAGGTGGCATCTTCTTCTAATATATATATATATAATTTTTTTTTAATCTACACTGAAAATCTGATCAAGCATCTTAGCTAGATCTTCTGGATAATTTACTGCTGCTTCTCCATCAGCACTTGGCACTTCACCTTGCAACAATTATGTTATGAGGATGGCTTCTTCACTTAATCCTCATCAACTGGCCTCTGCTAACTTCAAACTTTTCTTCTGCAGTTTCCTCAAATATTTTAGGCTGCATAGAATTAAAGAGGTCAGACCTTGCTCTGGATTGGGCTTTGACTTAAGAGAATGTTGTGACTGGTTTGATTTTCTGCCCAGACCACTACAACTTTCTTCATATCAACAGCAAGGCTGTTTTGCTTTCTTATTTGTGTGTTTATTGGAGTAGCACTTGAAATTTCCTTCAAGAACTTTTTCTTGGCATTGCCAACTTGGCTATTTGGTGTGAGATGTCTTGCTTTGGTCTTCTTTCAGCTTTTGACATGACTTATTTGCTAAGTTTAATCATTTCTGGTTTTTAATTCCATCTTAGGGTCATTAATTAACCTCATCACAGTTTTGTGTCTCAGGGAATAGGGAAGCCTAAGGAGGTGGGGAAAAGCTGGTCAATGCAGCACTCAGAACACATACAACATTCATCAATTAAGTTTATCATCTTATAAGGGTACAGTTTGTGGTACCCCAAAGTAGTTACAATAATAACATCAATGATCACTGGTCACAGAGCACTATAGCAGATATAATAATAATTTTAAAAATTAAAATATTGTGAGAATTATCAAAATGTGACACAAAGACAAGAAGTGAGAATAGGCTATTGGCAATATCTGTGAAATGCAATAAATCAAAGTGCTATGAAATGAGGAATGCCTGAACGTTAACACTCCAGAAAGGCAACAACAGTTCAGGCTGTCAATCACACTCCACTCAGAAGGAGATCTAAACAGTGCACTTTTATTGCCATCACTGCTTTTTCATGCAGGTTCAGAAGTTGCTTCTTCATGTGTCGTGTCCCATAGCTTCTCTATCTGAGGAAAAGTTTAGAAAAAGAGCTTGGTAGATTGAATTAAAACCCTCATAACTGCAGATAGTCTCTAGACAGCAACCTGTGGTCATTTTCTCTCTCCTCCACTATCCACACACCATTCAAGCACATTATTTTCTTCACTCTTCATTAGAATCCTAAAAGAGTTATAAAGAAAATTCTAGTCTAGCTATGCTAACTTCAGAG